GGTTATGTAAAGGTAGTTGAAGGATCAGTGTTTTCAGATATGCTATTGTTCTATGAATTTTTTGAGAAAAAATAAAAAAAAAATAAAGCAGTGGTCAAGAACTGAAAAAAAGGTGAAAAAACTCAATAATAGGAAAACACTAATGCTTTATATACAATCATGGAACCTTAGTTGAATGTAAATCAATGTTAGTAGATTTTTAAGGCACAGTGAATTAATTGGAAAGAAAAAGACTGTAGAATACAAGCAACTTTTCTTAGTACTGGATTTCCTTTTAAACAGTTAAATAAATTATTTTGTAGCTCTTGAGTTCACATACATCTCTAATTGATTGAAAAACCTGCTTTGATATCACAAGCATTGGGTGGGATGAGGGGAAGAAAAGTGGGGGGGGAAGTGAGGCTCTCTAGATGTGGGAGAGGAAATGATACAAATAAAGATTCTCAGTCCTGGAGGAAAATACAAAAGAAAAGTTGTGTTTTTTTTTTCAGAAATAATTTAAAAAATAGTATTTACTGAATATTGGAAGACCTTGTGCTACTTACTTTTTTTTTTTTTTTTGACAGGCAGAGTGGACAGTGAGAGAGACAGACAGAGAGAGAAAGGTCTTCCTTTGCCGTTGGTTCACCCTCCAATGGCCGCCGCTGCAGCCGGTGCACCGCGCTGATCCGATGGCAGGAGCCAGGATCCAGGTGCTTTTCCTGGTCTCCCATGGGGTGCAGGGCCCAAGCACCTGGGCCATCCTCCACTGCACTCCCTGGCCACAGCAGAGGGCTGGCCTGGAAGAGGGGCAACCGGGACAGAATCCGGCGCCCCAACCGGGACTAGAACCCGGTGTGCCGGCGCCACAAGGTGGAGGATTAGCCTATTGAGCCACGGCGCCGGCCTGCTACTTACTTTTGTAATTTACCTGTATTTTATCAGGGCTCTTAATAGGCCAGTCGTACTGAATTGTAAATAAGTAAAATAAGCAGGGACTGAACCTTCACTAGCATTATGGACATAGTCATTTTGAAGTGAATTCTGAAAGTATTTCCCCTTAATTCTTTTTTTTTTTTTTTTTTTTTTTTTGGACAGGCAGAGTGGACAGTGAGAGAGAGACAGAGAGAGAAAGGTCTTCCTTTGCCGTTGGTTCACCCTCCAATGGCCGCCGCTGCAGCCGGCGCACCGCGCTGATCCGATGGCAGGAGCCAGGATCCAGGTGCTTTTCCTGGTCTCCCATGGGGTGCAGGGCCCAAGCACCTGGGCCATCCTCCACTGCACTCCCTGGCCACAGCAGAGAGCTGGCCTGGAAGAGGGGCAACCGGGACAGAATCCGGCGCCCCAACCGGGACTAGAACCCGGTGTGCCGGCGCCGCAAGGTGGAGGATTAGCCTATTGAGCCGCGGCGCCGGCCTATTTCCCCTTAATTCTTAAATGGAAAAGTCTAAAGAGCAATCCCAGTCAATAAGGAATTGAAGGAAACAGTTCCGTCAGCATGTGGAGAGAAAAGAATAAATTGCTTGGGAAGAGCTGTCACTCTTTGCATAAGGAAATTTAAGCACAAAGGATCCCAATAATTCACATTATGTATTATAGCCACTGTAGCTCATTTGTTGTCTATCAAGCAGTAGAAAACAATAAAATTTTTTGAACCAAATCCCGAGTTTTCTGTGTTAGGAAAGAAGAAAATGTGCAGTTAATTTCTATGAGTCCTACCCTAAGAAGAACAGATTTTTGAGCAGGTTCAGCACAGGAAATGCAGTACAAGGAAACTGAATCTTCAACAGAGGATTTCTTGAGAAAAGCAGCTTTCTTTGATTTTATAAGATTTTTTTTTTTGGCAGTGAGAATATAAAACAATAAATTCAGGAACAAAAAGTCAATCAATAAATAACCTGGATTGTGTTTTAATCATAGAATCAATTGCTTTTTTATACTTTTTCATTTTTATTTCCCACAAAGAGAATCCTGAATATAAAGGGAATATATTTCTAGGTAGTGATGTATTAAAGAACTCAGTAGTCTAAAATGACTTAATTTTACTTTTGATATCTGAAAGGATTAGGAAAATTCTATTTAAGAAACCAGAGCTCAGAAGGTAAGAAAGGCACCATATCATTCCTTGCTTTAAAAATTAGAATTCAACCTTGTAAAAATTTTCTAGTATTATAATCTCTGTAACTAATATAATAAGAGTAAGACTATTAAGTCCTTTTTCCTCTATACTATTTTTTCTGAGCAGTAAACAAATGGTACTTAGCAAATACGTGTTAAGTTTAGGAATGTTATTTTATAGCTCATTTTGAACAGAGTTGTAAAGCAATATTATCTTATGCCAAGATGTGTGATAAACAGAGTAGCTGATGCAGGCATTTTGTTTATTTGGCGAATACCTGGGTTTAGATGAATCTTTTCTGGAAACACATCCTTATACATTTAAACCTAGTTATGCCATGCTCAATTACCAGGGGTTTCTGAACTGTGTTTACTGGGCTATTTCAGGAAATCCTTTTATGCCATTGCAAATGGGAGACTTTGATATGATTGCAGGAAGAAAAAGGGGAGATTCATGAGGCTAGTCTTGCTGCATAAAATTTAATCATTTCCTTTTGTGCTAATAGTCTGATACACCATTTAATTTAGTTATCTAAGAATTTTTCTCTAGAAACACTGTCTTTAATTCCTACAAAAATAAAACCTAAGTTATTTAAGAACAAAGTGATGTTTTTCCATTATTTTTTAAGGTAGTAAGAGCTGATGAAAGCAATTTCTAGCTAAATCCATTATTTAATTAATGTGGTTATAACATTTCCTATATGGAAAAAAATGTTCAATTTTTTGTTTTCATTTTTGACAGTCATAAATTGTCAAGGTTTTTTTCTTTTTTTCTTTTTTTTTTTTTTGGTAAGTTGTAAGAGCTACTAAGCTAAAAATTACCTTTTCTGTTTTCCCATATGCGGTACTCCACAGTTGAGTGATCTCCGAGAGACGGGCCGAGTGCCATCCTCCTGTGGAACTGATTTACACTTTTACAGAAGGCAAATTTATGGCCCTTATCTGTTGGAGACTTTTATGAATTACTGGTATAAATCAAGAATTGAATGAATATTTTTCCCCCTGAGCATAAATCTATGATTGGGAGATTGATTTCTGAGTAACTCTTTGCTAACCCATTTAAAGTGTCATCTCTCAATTTTCTGTATTTTGGCATAAACTGAATAACTAAAATATAATATCAACAAAATAATTTGTTTTTCTTCTGTTCGGCAGTTCTAGAATTCACGTAGACCTCTCAAAAATCTCTAAAAATAACTTAACAAAAAAAAAAAACAAATTTATATAGTAGAAATTCCATTAGTAGTAATGAACACAGAACTCTATTCATCTTTTTAGGCAGGAGAGGGAAAAAATGTAAGAAATACATTTAATTTTAAAATTCTTACAATGAACCATTGATTAGGGAAAAACGTAGATAGAAAAACCGATCATTTGTAGACTAAAACTTTTTTATTTTAAGTCCCAGAAAAATATATTAAAAAGTTAGGTCCTTATCTTTTTTTAAAAAGACTTTATTTATTTGAGAAGTAGAGTTACAGAGAGAGAGAGAGAAAGGTCTTCCATATGCTGGTTCACACCCCAGATGGCTGCAATGGCCGGGGCTGCGCGATCTGAAGCCAGGAGCCAGGATCTCCTTCCAGGTCTCCCATGTGGTGCAGGGGCCTAGCCACTTCTGCTGCTTTCTCAGCCATAGAGAGCTGGATCCGAAGAGGAGCAGCCAAGACTCAGCTGGTGCCCATGTGGGATGCCAGTGCTGCAGGCAGAGGCTTAGCTCTTCATGCCACAGAGGTCCTGACCCTTATCTCTTGAATATACTTGCAGAGATAGTTGGTCTTTAATGAAGAGGTATCTGTCTAAAGACAGAAAACAGGTAATATGAGGACCCTGTCTAGAATGGAAAGCTAGAAATGAGGTGGGCTAAAAAAATACAACCCTTGCATATCTGTGGAGTCCACATCCACAGGTTAGAACAGCTGTGGATCAAAAATATTAGATCTTTACCTAACATGTACAGACTATTTCTTCTTTAAACAAAACAGTATTTACATAGCACTTTTTTCCCAAAGATTTATTTATTTATTTGAAAGATTTACACAGAGATGAAAGGGAGGGAGGGAGGGAGGGGTCTTCCATCCACTGGTTCACTCCACAATTGGCCACAACAGCTGGAGCTGTGCCGATCAGGAGCCCGGAGCCTCCTCCAGGTTTCCGACGTGAGTGCAGGGGCCCAAGGACCTGGGCCATCTTCTGCTTTCCCAGGCCATAGCAGAGAGCTGGATCGGAAGCGGAGTAGCTGAGTCTTGAACCGGCGCCCATAGCGGTGCTTCAGGCAAGGGCGTTAACCCGCTGTGCCACAGCACCAGCCCCATAGCACTTAATTTGAATTAAGTGTTAGAAGCAATGTGGAGATGATTTAAAGTATGAGAAGATGTGTGTAGGTTGTGTGCAAATGCCTCACTATTTCATGTAAGAGATTGAGTGTGCATTTGGGTATCTATAGGTCACTAGCAAGGAATGATAATTTCGTGTGTTTTTCACATAACAAAAACTTTGAAATCTGTAAGTGGCAATTTACAGATGAATTATGAAATTGTGGAACTGTTTTCAGACAATTGTCCCTTTCTCTTCCTCATTCCATGCGGTTTTGTTGCTTGGATAGCAATGAGGGAGATAGGGTTCTTCATGAGATAAGCAGTTGCTCCTGGCTTTTCTTGAAGAGAGAGTTCTCTGGTAACAGAAAGAGTAGGTAGATAACCACAGTGTGTAGGTTGCTCCATGGGTGTTTGCTGAAGCATAGCAGGAAGGAAAGATGCCTGTCTGGAAGGAACTAAAAGGGACTTTGAGGGAGCTGTGTGCAGAGTGAGGGGTGAGGGTGGAGATGAGATGGAGGGGGAGCTGTGTGCAGAGTGAGGGGTGAGGGTGGAGACGAGATGGGGGGGGAGCTGTGTGCAGAGTGAGGGGTGAGGGTGGAGACGAGATGGGGGGAAGCTGTGTGCAGAGTGAGGGGTGAGGGTGGAGACGAGATGAGAGAGAGAGAGGGAGCTGTGTGCAGAGTGAAGGGTAAGGGTGGAGACAAGATCAGAGAGTGAGAGAGAGAGAGAGAAATTTCCTATTTGCTGACTGACTTCCCAAATGCCCCCAACAACTGAGGCTGGGCTAGTCTAAAGGTCGGAGCTAGGAACGCAGTTCAGATCTCCCATGTGGGTGAGAGACAGCCAACTATTTGACTTGTCATCATCTGCTGCCTCTTTGGCTGTACATTATCAGGAATCTGGAATTGGTAGTGGAAATAGGACTTGAACGTAGGCGCTCTGGTATGGGGTGCAGTGTCTTGAGTACCGTACGAAATGCCTGCGGTTATGAGCTACTTTAAAACTAATTTTCACTATTTTCATTTTATTTGTAAGAAAAGAGAGGGAGACTGAGACATACAAAGATCTTCCATATGCTGGGTCACTCCCTAGAGGTCTGTAACAGCCAGTTCTGGGCAAGGCCAGAGCCAGGAACTCATTCTGGGTCTCCCACATGGGTGGCAGGAGTCTGAGTACTTGGGCTATCCCGTGCTACATCTCAGGGCAGGCGTTAGCAGGACACTACAATGGGAAGCAGAGCCGGGACTCAAATCCAGGCACTCCAGTATGGCACATGGGCATTCCAAGTGGCCTCTTAAACATCATGCCAAATGCCTGCCTCTGATGATCTATTTTTATAACCAGAAAGACAGGAACTGGTACGCAGAGATTACGTCAATGCTGCCTTCTGGCATTTGCCTAATTTCAGCATAATTTGGCAGTCTTTCTCCTGAAGAATGAAGCTCAGTTGCTTATTTGTAAGAATTTTCCCTTAGTTGAGGTTACAACCTGCTTGGACATTAAGATAGGATGTGGTTCACTGTCTATGGAGACCCCTTCGGGCTGGACTCCTTGTTGAAGTATGGCAGCTGGTGTAGGCCAGTTTATTCCAGTTTAGCAATCCTGGGGACTGTGACCTCAGTTTGGAGAGTTTTATCTCTCGTGTGAATTCTGTGTGTTCTTTGAGTTAAATTTTGCTAAATTGTTATGTGCAATATTACCAGTTAATTTTTTAAAATGTGAATCTTACCCTGCCAGGCCTTCTGCATCCCTCCAGTGGTCCTTTGTCATACTTAAGAGATTCATCATTAATCTTCAGCATTAAAGGTGTGGAAGTTCTTCAGAATTTGACCCCTGCTTGCTTTTACAACCTCGTTTCCCAACAGATACTTCGTGAACATCACCTGTTCTAATTCTTACCGGCCCCTCCCAGAGGATGCACAGGCAGTCTTCATTTTGCACAGTAGTGCAGGACAGTAGCAGTGACCAGCAAGTTGAACTGTGCAGAATGATCCTGGTAATCAGTGAGAAAAATGAACATTTCTAGGACCTATAAAAGGTTTTGTTAAAACATTAACAACACTCTTAGTTATAAATGGATAGGGAAGTGAAAGTCAAGCTAATATTGATTCAGTACACTGCTGTAAAGCATTAGAAACACTGAGATTCAAAACCCTATCAAGAGTGGTTTAACCAGTGCCTGCCTTCCTCCTGTCATAAGACATACAGCAAGGAGCAAGCATCTTTCCATGCCTTGGTGACTTTCCATGCTCCCTTTGAAATTGGAATTGGCATCTACAGTTAATCCTTGTGCTTTCAATGTTGTGAACTATTTTACAGAGTTCCTTTAATGGGAAGTTTTTTTGCTGGCGTTACTTCTCTGGGATATCCTCGTCCTTCTCATTTGTGTGTAGTGCCTTCCCTAAGCCCCTGTGGCTGGCCAGTGTCACGTGGAATTAACATTCACATCATCGGTGTTACTTCTATACACCACATGGATGTTAGTGTTTCGTTTCTGCTCGGTCTCGTCCCGGTCAGCCATTTCCCTCTTTGGATTGCCCCTTTGCACACATTGTCCAGTGGGTCTGTCACTAGGCGCCATCGAGGCAGCATTGTTGCTCTTTTTGCTTTCTGTCTGTAGACTGAGACCTGCAGAGACCCACCACTGACAGGTTTTAAAAGAAGTGACATGAGTGGTCATGGATCATTCATGCACTTTGTGCACTGACAAGCTGGTGAGAAATTTATATTTTATGTGATTCCCCATGGTTAAAGTACAGTGGTAACTGATGTGTGAATCTGGTTATTACAGGAAAGGTGTTAACTATGGTAACTAAAATTTGTGCATCTCAAATTGAGCACTTCCTGTGTATTACAAAGAAACTGGGTCTTGAAAAGCTGAAATGATTGCTGGCAGTCACAGAGCTGAAAAAGTGGCAGGGATCTATTAACATAACTTATTTAATGTTTCTGCCCTTTGATATTGTAAGGCACAGTCTGTTTCTCAGGGCTTCTGTCAAAGTAAATACTGACGGAATGTAAATTACAAATGGCTGTCTTTGATAGAATGTACTGGGATGTCTAATCAGGTCTGTAGCCCTGTAGGGATTCTTTGTGCAGCTTGGCCGACTGTCTTAAGGTTGCCAGGGCAGGCATATAAAACTGATTATTGTTCAAAGCTGCTTGGTAGCTGGTGACACACCTGACCTTATATGAGGTGGTTACTTGGAGTGAATCAACAGTCTTCAGCCTTTAGAGTGAAGGACGGACCATCCCAGAACAAACAAACAAAAAAACCCAGGAAAGGAAGGGAACATCCCTGCAGTCAAGTGGAGGAAACAGCTCAGCAGTGCTGGTGGCGATCTCTGGTTTAGGACGGGGCTGCAAACGTGGTGGGTAAGGGAGCCAGCAGGCGCTGCATCTAGGCAAAGCCTCTGGTGCTGGCATCCCATATGGGTGCTGGTTCGAGTCCCTGCCTCTGATTCAGCTCTCTGCTAGTGGCCTGGGAAGGCAGTAAAGAATGGCCAGAGTTCTTGGCCTCCTGGACGAAGCTCCTGGCTTTGGATCATCCCAGCTCCTGCTGTTGCAGCCATGTGGGGAGTGAACAAGTGGTTGGAATACCTTTCTCTTTCTCTCCCTCTATGACTCTTATCTCTCAAAGAAATAAATAAAATCTTAAAAAAAAAAAAAAAAAGTGGTGGGTAGGGATACGACATTCCCAGCCTTTGGTTTCAAGGCTGGGTTCAGTATGGCTCTGCTCAACTGGTATTGGCCAGGCGGGTGGTAGTGGTCACAACTGGGTGGGCCTGAGTCCGAGGTACAGTCTTGCCCTTGAAACGTTGAGGGGCATCTCAAATTGTTCAGAGTAGAGAAGAGCTGTGATGTGGAGATAGACTGGATCAATACCCAGACCTGGAAAATGAAGACTGGGAAAGAAATCCAATTCGTGAGGAAAAGACTGGCATGCTTTAGTGCCTGAAAAATGCCGACCTTTATGCATGGCTCTCGTTTATTGATGATATCATTCCACTAAAGATCTTGTTGGTAAGTGGTATAGGTAATTTAGAGATAAAGAAACTGAGTTAAATAACTTCCCTGATGTCACAGATCTAGTAAGTGATAAAATTGGTATTAAAAAAAGGTCCTTTTTAATATACCACAAAGGTGGTATATTAGGTGAAAGATGCCAGTCTCAAATATTTAAAGAAAAATATTTGAGGAGTGTTTCATTCATCTTTGATCTTAAACTGGCTGTTGTATGTAACTTAGATGATTGTACTTTTCTGTAGAAATAATGTTTGAAAATGTGATTTGGTGTCCAGTCCATATGGCAACAACCAATTTTAACTTGCATATATGAGAGAGTACTTCAAAAAGTTCATGGAAAATGGAATTAGGAATAAGCTTCTCTTGGTGCAAAAAATTGAAATCCATAGTTTTGTCATCCTAGGCATTTCCCTAGACTTTTTAAAGACCTACCCCTCTTATATGTGTCTCCCTGTGTGTCTCTTTCTCTGCTATTTAAAATGCATGTAATCGTTATTTTAAGAATTGAACAAGGGCTCCCATATTCATGCAAATATTTAAACTCTAAAGTCTCATGTTAATGGTTGGTGGGTTAAGGGTGGAGAATTGATCTAATTATGGTGTCTGAAGTATATGCCTGGAAGGTGGTTCTCCCCAGAGAGGTGATTATTTGTGTTAGGCCTGGCTGTTGGCCCACCTTGTCGTGGTTCCTCCTCACCTGCTCCTTGTCACTGCAGTTGTCTGCCAGATACCAGACTAACAGGGGCTGTGCTGTCCTGTGCTATGTGAGCCTCCAAACTAAGCTGAAATAATCTTACTCTTTCCAGGAAACTCTTCTCAGGTATTCTAAAATAATGAAAATCTGCCTAAGGCAATTATGTAAAATATTACATTTCAAGTCGTAGGGTGGGAAAATAGGGAACTCTGTTCTTCATGTTGAGGTCAGCCTCTGCTAGCAGCACTGCTGATGGCTAGGAGGACCAGTAGCTGGTACACGTTCCTCTGCTCAAGAGTGGCATCTGTCTTCACCTCTGTCTTATGAGAAGGGCCCTGTTAGTAACTCATTCCTTAGGTGTTTGAAATGTGGGAATAAAAGGACTTGATAGACTCTAGATTCAGTTTATCTAACCATGTAGATGTTCTTAGTGAATTGGTTTTGTGTATTGGGGCGGGACTGTGTCTTAATAATTGAAGCTCTTTTGATAGCAAACAATGAAAACACACTCTAGCCAACTGAAAATAATGCTGATTCTCGGGCTGTGGAACTATTTTGCTTTCTGTGTTGCTGGGTCTCCTTAAAGACCAGAGCCTGGAGTTGTGTTTTTGTTTTATTTATTTATTTATTTATTTATTTTTAAGATTTATTCATTTATTTGAAAGGCAGAGTTACAGAGAGGCAGAGGCAGAGAGAGAGGTCTTTGATCTGCTGGTTCACTCCCCAAATGGCCGCAAGGCTGGAGCTGAGCTGGTCCAAAGCCAGGACCTTCTTCCAGGTGTCCCGTGTGGGTTCAGGGGCCCAAGCATTTGGGCCATCTTCCACTGCTTTCCCAAGCCATAGCAGAGAGCTGGATCGGAAGAGGAGCAACTGGGACTCCAACTAGCCCCCATATGGGATGCTGGCCCTGCAGGCAGCGGCTTTATCCGATGTGCCACAGCACTATCCCGGAGCCTGGAGTTCTGCTATCTACTCTAAGCTTTCTCCCCTGCATCCTCTGACTCTCTGGTGCTGGGGTCACCTGAAGGCGTGTTTCTCCTTGCTCACCAGCTTCTTTCTCTTCTCCCTCTTCCCCTCTGAACCCCCACCCCCTTCATGGCCACTTACTGGCTTCCTGCAGACTTCTGGGCACAAGGTTCTGGAGGACTTGATTCCAGCTCGTGATTTTTATATCCCCTTGTTTCAATGGCAAACAGATTCTAATGAGAGTCTCTAACACCTGATTCTAAAATCCCAAGATACAAAATGAATTTCTCCCAGCTTGAGTTAGGGACCCAGCATTTGTTAGATGCCCAACACTACTACCTTCATGTGTGGCCCAGGGGTGAGGCAGAAAGGGAGTAGTGGTGAAATCCAGTCACCTATCTGTTAGGGCATGGTGGATGGAGAATGGGTCCTGCCTGCTGAGCTTTTTTATTTGGCTTTTTTATTCATGGCTTTCTATGTTTTACTACTTTTAGACTAAGAAAGCAGTTACCACTGCACATTCTGTGCCTTCAAATGAAACTTCCACATCCGTAGTATCTGTGGTGATAATAAAGAGCTTGCAAAAACTGTAATATAAAGACTGACCAGGAGTGGACTTGATCTGAGAATATGGAAGAATTTATTTTAAATAAAATCTGTCTTTTCACTTAATTTGTAACAGCTGCTGATCTGATTGATCTGAAAACACATCTGTTGTTCTGTCTAGGTGTAAGATGCCTGTTAGTTACAGTCTGTGCTGCTTCATTGCAGTGAGAACTATCAAAAGTGAATACGAAATCAGTTTTTCAGTATTTTATTTGTGAGGGATGAATGGAAGAATCAAACTTTTATGATAATCTTGTCATCTATTTTTAGTTCAGTGGAAGAAGCAGCATGGCCCAGGGGACTAGGGAGGATGGGGATTTGGGAGCTCTGAGATTTATCTGTTTTGCAACTGACTTACATTGTGACCTTGAAAAAGGAGATTAACCTCTGTGTACTTCACATGTAAAATGGGATTTTCTTGATAGGAATACAGGTACATTACAATATGAGCAAAACGAATACTAAAAAAGATTGTATACAAAGCAGGAGTGATAGCCTTTAAAATTCAGTAGCCCATAGCTTAAAAAAGATTCTACCTAGAATATGAAGACCTGACCTCTTCATATTCGTTAGACCAATCAGCAAGAGTTAAATTCACACCTTGTTTAAAAAATTCCATGTACTGGAAAGAGAAACACATGACTCTGTATCATAGAATTATGATAAGGACTTTGAATCTGTGAGGTATACTTCAAAAACTTTTATAGGCTGTAGTAAACAAAGAATATCCCATTACCTTGGATTTGGGGTGAACTTTATCCAATATAAGCATGCCATAAGAGCTCTCTTTTGCTCTATTTTGGCTTTTGTGTTGAAATCAGTGTCATCTGTTGGTCATGGCATTAGAATATATGCTGAGGTCTTGGCTCTGTTGTGTAGCGGGTAGAGCTGCCGCCTGCAGTGCCAGCATCCCATGTGAGCACTAATTTGAGTCCCGGCCGCTCCATTTCCAATGTAGCTCTCTGCTATAGCCTGGGAAAGCAGTAGAAAGTGGCCCAAGTGCTTGGGCCCCTGCATCCACATGAGAGACCTGGAAGAAGCTCCTGGTTCCTAGCTTCTGATTTGCTCAGCTTTGGCTGTTATGGCCATTTTGGAGAGTGAAGCAGCAGATAGAAGACTCTGTCTCTCTCTGCGCCTCTTTCAAATAAATACATCTTAAAAAAATAGATACATGCTAAGTTCACCTGTGCCCTGCTCTGTCATCCAGACCCTGTGCAGTCTGACTTTATCTATCACCACTAGCACTGTTGACTTGCCCATATTATGGTGATCTTATGCCTCCTTTTGTATCAGTTCTACAGAAGGCAAAATATCCTAAAATCTAACATGTAAATAAGCTAAAAGGATTAAAGTAGTAGGCAGAAATAGTGGTTTGTTGTATATTTATTTATATTGTATTTGCATAACAGTCTTCCTAGAGGGAAGATGTGCACTTTGCTTTATTTCCCATAGAAAAACCCTTGGAGCACAGTGGCTAGAGTGTGTTCCTGAGCTTCAGTAACCCAGGTTTGTTGGCTTCCCAGGGTGAGCTTAAGCCTGCCCTGTCACAAGGGTGTAGGTTGACTGGGTTGTGGAACAGACTGATTGCCATACTTCAGTTGCGTTAGAAGAAGTCAATTTCTCCTCAAAAACATGGTAACAAAATTGGATCGTAATGCTTAAATAGAATTATTGTTCTCTACCTAAAGGATTCTCCCAAATCAGTCTGAAGATGACTACTGTTGTATCACCCATTTTGGAAAGAATTGCATGATTGAGTTCAGTCATTGTACAGATTAATAGCATGTTCTTACTAACTTGTAAATATTCATTTACAGGAAGGAGTGACTAGAATCTTTGAGTTCTTTCATATTGGTGTTGAGGTTTCTGAGTTGTTAGTTTTCCCTTCATTTTAGAGAAAAGTTTTTCCAAAAATTCTTCTTGATTGCAAAATGTATCCCCTGAGATTCCAGACAACATAGCTCATGCTGACCAGTTGATTCCAAGTGTGACAACACAGTATTTAGCAAGTCCCAGTGAAACCAGGCGGAGGTCAGAGACTATGCCTGGCTTTGCCTGCATTGGTTAACTGCTGCAATCCTTGATTTTATCTGGCTTCAAATGACTGTTACAACAGTCATAAATTGTGTAGCCCTTTGCAATTCTGTGTAATCCAAAAGTTTTCACCCTTCAAAGGGCATTTGTTAGTTGCTGTTTGGTGTAGTCGCTTCGTTATTTTTGAAAACGATTTATTCATTTATTTGAAAGAGAGGGACGGAGGGAGAGAGAGAAAAAGGGATACAGATCGATCTATCTTCTGACTGTTGGTTCACTTTCCAGATGGCTGCAGTAGCCTTGGCTGGGCCAGGCCAAAGCCAGGAGCTTCATCTGGGTTTCCCTTGTGGGTGGCAGGGACCCAAACACCTGGACCATCTTCTGCTTTTCCTGGGTCATTGGCAGTGAGCTGGGTCAGAAGTGGAGCTGCCAGGCAGGAACCAGAGCCCTTGGGGTTGATGGCTTCCCAGGCAGCCCCCGGTACAGTCTCTTTAACACTTGAGAGGAGGGTATGTCGGCCAGATTTCTTCATTTTCATGTTTTCCTGGGAAGGTAAGGCAGATTCTCAGATGATTGTGTTTAGTTAGTAAATGCCTCTCTTCTCACTTGCTCTGCCTCCTCGTTTTCTGTTTCCTCCCCCTCTTTCCTCTCCCTCTTTAGATTTTTATGACATAGAGACAGTTTTCCAGCAAAATGAGTGGACTGCAATACTAAAGACTGCTTGGCCGAGAAACTATCAGTCTTTGCATGGCAGGCTTAAGGACAAATGTCAAATACAGACATGCTGAGAATCTTTTTGTCATTCCAGGTTAACTGATTTAGAAAAATTTAAGTGCAGTGGTTGGTGCTTAGCGGTAAATTTGAGAAAACTCATCTTTAACATGCATCTTATGTATCACAAGCTTGAAAACCTTAGATTCCTCACATGGCATATTGGATTTAAAACATTGTGCTTTAGACACAATTTTAAGTTAAAATATTCTGTAAATATGATTTACTAGTGTGCTTACCTTTGTATAGATTACTTTGTGTTTACTACAGTGTGGTAAGGAAGTGTGGAGAATTGTCATCCCACACATCTGATGGTTTAAAGTAGTGTTCGATTTAAGGAGTCAAATAAAGAAAATTCAGTAATGGCTTATAGAGATGAAGCAAAAGGTATGGGTACAGGCCCATCTTATAACTTGTTGTTGCTGGTAATTGTGTCCTATTTTTTGATGAATGTTTTTCCTTTCTCTTTGAAGACTTTGAGTTAGGAAGTATTCATGCTGTGCTATTCACTTCACCAGGCGGAAGAACCAGCATGATAAGAAGTTAGGAAACCAGGTTTTCAAATTCATTTAGCACAGATGAATATGTCAATATGATTTTTCTTATATCAGGTCTTGGAAGAAGTTTTTCACTTGTTCCCCTTGATTCTGGCATGTGAAATGGAATTTTACTCAGGTGTCCCTTCTGTGTGAATTTATTGAGGAGGATGCCTTTGCTATGTCCTGTGCACCTTCCTGGAGGATGGTCACATAGCCACAGTGCCACCCACCACCCTTGGAGATGACAGGGTGTCATCAGTACAACTACTGACTATTGGAAACCTCATGTTACTTAATCTTTACAACTCCTTACGCATCTTGTTAGTTTTGTAGATGAGGACATCCCTGTCTCAAATATGTTAAATGGCTTACCCAAGGTCATTTTGCCAGTTAAGTCCAAGTCATTTTTACTGAATACAGATAGTCCTAACCAGTTCTGTAGGTTGCCCCGCCTTGAGGTGTGGTTTACTGTCATCACCTTCCCTGGCATGTCTGCTTGCTGGGTTCTGAGTTGCAGACCTGCTGAGCAGTGATGGCCAGAATTGTGGGGTGAACAGAGTATAACCTGGATGAACCTCTCATTGCTTCCTTATTGACCCCCAGAAAACGCACACAGGTTAGAATTGGCCGTTTTCTTGCCTTATTTGTTATACCATATTTTGTGTCACAGGTGATTTTTCTGAAGGAAAGATGACAAACCACAGTTCTAGATATGTTCCTGAAGATTTTTCCTACTTATCGAATCTTCATTTGATTTCCATTAATAAAATGAAATTATAACCCAAATATTAAAATCTACCAAATTATGTAATTCTTATTCCGAGCAGTTAATTGTAATTTCTTCAGCTTCAGTTGAGTTAAAGCCTTGAAAAGCATTTATTCTTGTGATTCTTTAATACTTTTACAGAATATTTTTATACTGTTGGTATCTTTTCTTTTCCTCATTATTTTGTAGAAGACTGTGATGGGGAGAAAGTAACACGTCACTTAGCATAAAAACAGATTACATTAGAGATCTATTCCAATGTGATCTCCATACCCACGTGTTTTGATGGCGACTTTTTGAGGCCCTGCCTTTTGTAGGACCTAAAGGATGCCTGCTGTCTGCTATTTCCCATGTCCTTCAAACCAGAGCCCCCTTTGCCTGTCTTCTGAGGGGCTTCTTCTGGCTTGTTCTGTGCTCGCTCTGCCCTTCTCTGACAATGTTCACCTTCCGGGGCCCTCATACTTTGTGATGATTGCTCCCAAACTTTTATTTCCAGCCCCAACTTCAACCCAGCAATTACTTGTTAACCATGAGATGGTATCAAGAAACCAACCAGTTTTCTTCTCCATTATAAGTAGAAAAAAAGACAAAACTCGGCTGGCCCCGTGGCTCAATAGGCTAATCCTCCACCTGCAGCGCCGGCACCCCGGGTTCTAGTCCCGGTCGGGGCGCTGGATTCTGTCCCGGTTGCCCCTCTTCCAGGCCAGCTCTGTGCTGTGGCCCAGGAGTGCAGTGGAGGATGGCCCAAGTACTTGGGCCCTGTACCCGCATGGGAGACCAGGAGAAGCACCTGGCTCCTGGCTTCGGATCAGCGCGGTGCGCCGGCTGCAGCGCGATAGACGCGGCGGCCATTGGAGGGTGAACCAACGGCAAAAGGAAGACCTTTCTGTCTGTCTGTCTCTCACTGTCCACTCTGCCTGTCAAAAACAAAAAACAAAAAACAAAACAAAACAAAACAAAAAAAACAAAAAAAAACCCAGAACTGTTGCTCTTGATTAAACTAGGTCTACATTGTGTTTAAGATTATAAATGAGCTTAGCATCATGAGGTTCCATAATTTATTTTTAAAGAGTTTAGATCTGTAATCATTCAAGATAATTATGTTTTATTTTCAGTGTAATATGGCTCTTAATTGTAACACTAATGAACACTGAGGATGCTTTGAAGATTCACTCATGTAAAGTGATTTGATGAATTGAAGTAAGGTGACATTTGATGGATTTAGTGGAAATTTAGATAGAGTTTGCCTCCCAGTGATGTTTTATGGCTGACTTTTGACAATCTTTTAGGTAGGATTTCTTGAAAAATTATAGGATTTAGGGGAATGATTATGAAATAATTGATTAAAAAGTATGCAATACTGGATTTCATTGAATTAAAGTTCGTGTAGATTCAGTTTAAAACCAAATTCAACATATTTTATATTTCCTCAAACCTTTTTTCATGTATTAATTTTCTCATGCTTGTCATTCTCATCTAATGATGATTTAATGTTTGCAAACCTGAATAAATTTGTATGTAAGGAGTTCTATGTTTTTAATCAATGAAGACTGAAATTTCGCATCTGAGATGGTAAACAATGAAAAAACTTAAATAGAAAATGAAAATAATGATTAGACTTTAGAAAGTACTTTTATTAATGTTCTTGGCTCTGAACCACATAATATTTTTATCTTCATTGTATAATATTTTGAAGGTGACTGAACTCTGAAAGATATAATTATCACTAAGTTGTCAAGATTACTTAAATTAGAACAGGGTCTTTGTCCTCGCTCTCAGCCCGTTCCCTGAAACCTGTGACCCAGGGTTATGAGTGAGCTGTGAGTGCTAGACTACTTCTTACAGTCCCTTCCTGAGAACTTGCACAGACAGCACAGTGTGCTGTGGCAAAAGTGTGTCTTTACTTCATTATTACTTATTGAGAAAAAATGTAGAACTTACAATGCCCAATGGGTTATGCACAGTAAAAAAATTCTGGGTGATAGCTCTGGCAGCAGTCCCTCCTCCGTCGATCCAGGAGAGCCTGGCCTGGTTTAACCTTGATTTTCTCGCCAATGATCTCCTGACACTGAAAGACGAGTAATACAATCTTTAAAAATCAGTAAGGGACGTTTTATTGTAGTCCTTCACCTTCATTGTTCGGCGCCCTTCAGGGAGGAAAGGAGGCAGATATTCCTCCGCAGAAAATACCTCTGAAAACCTGACTGATGGGTAATAAATGATTCCTTTAAAAAATGTGTTCTAATACTATTATTTGAGGGGTGGATTTGGGGCTGGAATAAAAGATGAATGTGATTAGTTTCAAGGCCGAAATTGGGCTTTGTATAAATAATGTTTTAATATAATCACAAATGTTTTAAGTATATGGAAAGCAAAATTTATTTTAAAATGATACAAGAATTGCGAATCCTGTAATTCCCTGTTAGACGCCAGCAGTCCAAATTAGAAATGATTAAGGAGAACAACAACAACAAAAAACTCACATAGTTTAGTAAAACTTTTGGCTGAATAGAAGCTGCATCTTTTGTGTTACTGGAGCATATCAGTGAAGAAGTCACATAGTTGACGTCGCTAAAAGAGGTATCACGATGATGAGACTGTGTCCTTACACATGCTAGATTTGGCAGTTTCTTTCACATTCTCTCAGTCCTGAGAACAGGGTTAGATCAAATGGGATTGTTCTACGTTTTACAACTGACCAACTGTTCTTGGAATAATTAGTTATCCAAGGCCACATAGTTAATATTTGCAAGTGACCTTTCTTCCAATGTTTTCGAAAACTCTGTCCCTTCCCTACCTCTTCCCTCCCTCCACTTCCCACCCTTGCCCGAGTCCCACAGTGCTTTCACCATGCTGCATTATGTGGTCTTTTATTTTTTTATTTTTTATTTATTTTTTGACAGGCAGAGTTAGAGAGACAGAGAGAAAGGAGAAAGGTCTTCCTTTTTCTGTTGGTTCATCCCCAAAGTGGCCGCTAAGGCCAGTGTGCTGTGGCCTGCGGGCTGTGCTGATCCAAATCCAGGAGCCAGGTGCTTCCTCCTGGTCTCCCATGGGGTGCTTGGGCCATCCTCCACTGCCCTCCCGGGCCACAGCAGAGAGCTGGACTGGAAGAGGAGCAACCGGGACAGAATCCGGCGCCCCGACCGGGACTAGAACCCGGGGTGCCGGCGCTGCAGGCGGAGGATTAGCCTAGTGAGCCATGGCGCTGGCCTTTTTATTTTTTTATACCTCATAGTTAACTCTGAACTAAAAGTTTACTACTAGGACCTATATTTCATATTACCAACAGATATGACTTCTGAATATATACATTTAACTAGAGTTATTGTTTTATAGGTTGTTATCTGTCTTCCAGCTGAATTTTCACCTTTGTTTAAATAGAACTTGGCATGTATTAAAAGTAATCTCTCTTCAACCATAGTGTATTTTGGATTTTAAGATTAAATATGAAAAATGCCTCTTGAATGTTCATGTTT